TTCATCCCTGGAGGCTTTCAAGAAGAGACTCGACTGCCATCTGTCAGAAATGGTGTAGGGTCTCCTGCCTGGGTGGGTGAGGGTTGGTCTAGATGACCTCCGAGGTCCCTTCCAACTCTATTCGCTCTTCAACCTTACCCGCAACTGAGCATCTCTGATGGGCACATCGGCCTGCACGGGCTCGGTACAGCTGGCGACCAGGGACGGGCCTCTGTTCGTTTTTTCCACCAGGGCCACCTTGACGGATGTGGTACCCAGATCGATGCCAAGGATGCATGGGGCGGGCAGCCCGATGGGTTGCTGTCTCTCCTGCGCCATCCGAAATCCCTGCGCCTTTAAGCCTGGAGTCCCGGAACGTGAAAAAAAATGAAACCACCTTTAGCCCTACATCTGCTCAACGGGCGCGACAAATTTTGGATGCTTTCCATTCGCTGCTTTTAAAATGCTCTTACGGTTTTAAATGCCGTGTGGGATTTGAACTGTAAGCTGTTCAGAGCCATGGATCGAAATCCTGGCTCTAGAAATCGAATAGCAATAGCACTTAAGACTTATATGCCGCTTCGCGGTATTTTACAGTCCTCTCTTAACGGTTTAGCGAGTCAGCCTCTTGCCCCCAACAAGCCTGGTCCTCATTTGACCGACCTCAGAAGGATGGAAGGCTGAGTCAACCTTGAGCCTGGTGAGATTCGAACTGCTGGCAGTAGGCAGACTCAACCTGCAGTGTTGCAGTCTAACCACTGTGCCACTATGACAGGAAGGAGGGAAGGAGGGGGGAGGCGGGAGGGAGAGAGGAGGAGAAAAGGCAGGGAGGAAGGAAGGAAGGAAGGAAGGAGAAAAGGGAGGGAGAGAAGGAAGGAAGGAAGGAGAAAAGGGATGGAAGGGAGAGAAGAAGGAAGGAGGCAGAAAAGGGAGGGAGAGAAGGAAGGAAGGAGAAAAGGGACGGAAGGGAGAGAAGGAGGAAGGAGAGAGAAAAGGGAGGGAGAGAAGGAAGGAAGGAAGGAGGGGGGATGGGGAGGGAGGGAGAGAGGAGGAGAAAAGGCAGGGAGGAAGGAAGGAAGGAGAAAAGGGAGGGAGAGAAGGAAGGAAGGAAGGAGAAAAGGGATGGAAGGGAAAGAAGAATGAAGGAGGCAGAAAAGGGAGGGAGAGAAGGAAGGAAGGAGAAAAGGGACGGAAGGGAGAGAAGGAGGAAGGAGAGAAAAAAGGGATGGAGAGAAGGAAGGAAGGAAGGGAGGGAGGGAGGAGAGAGAAAAGGGAGGGAGGGAATGCCTTGTCACATTGGTTAAATGAATCACTGCAGTACTTAAATTACCGTAGTAACTTGGTTGTTAAGTGAATCTTTGCTTGTGAGAAGGTCGCAAAAGGGGGACTCCAGGACAGTGCAACCGTCACAAATGTGAGTCACTTCAAGCATCTGGATGTAAATCATGTGGCCGTGGGGATGCTACAATGGTTATACGTGTGAAAAAATAGTCATAAATCGCTTTTTTCAGTGTGTTGTAACTTCGGCCACTAAACAAACTGTTGTAAGTAGAGGACTACCTGTATTTATTTGTTAGAAGTTTAAAAGCCTCTGATCTGCCCCCCCTTCCTATTTTTAACAGATGTCTGATCTGAAGTCAGAGAAACTCTTTCATAAAATACATTTTTTTTCCTTAAAAGTAACCCACTGGAATCAATCAAAGTTTAAAAGACGTGGGAACTTTGCACCTCCGAAGGAAGTTTGATCCTGACCGGCTGAAGGTTGACTCAGCCTTCAGTCCTTCCGAGGTGGGTAAAACGAGGACCCGGATTGTTGGGGACAAGAGGCTGACTCTGTAAACCGCTTACAGAAAGCCGTAAGGCACTATAAAGCAGTATATAAGTCTATGTGCTATTGCAGGATAATTCTGCCCACTGCCGAGAGTTTGATCCTGACCGGCTCAAGATTGACTCAGTCTTCCATCCTTCTGAAGTCAGTAAAATGAGGACCCAGATTGTTGGGGGCAAGAGGCTGACTCTGTAAACCGCTTAGAGAGCGCTGTAAAAGCACTGTGAAGCGGCATATAAGTCTAAATGCAATGGCTATGATGGTTGCAGTGTCCTAAAGTCCCTTTTGTGAGCTTCTCACAAGCAAAGTCACCCGGGAAGCCCGATTCACTTAACAACCAGGTTCCTAACTTACTAACTTCAGCGATTCACTTAACAACAAGGAAAGGTCGTAAAATGAGGCAAAACTCACTCAACAAATACCTCACCTCAACAACAGAAATATTGGGCTTGATTGTGATCATAATTTATCGGGCCAACCCCAATCTCAGTGACTCTGGGCGGCTTATAAAAAAAACCTTCCAACAAGCAAAATCAGTGAGGAAAACTCAATTCATTTACCAACCACAGTGATTCATTTAACGACCGCAGCAAAATATGTATATAACTGGGTATATAACTCACTTAACAAAGAATTCCTGTCTCAATTGTAATCATAAATTGAGGACTACCGGCAAGCAGGCACGCAGACTTTGCTGAGATTCAGATGTGACAGATTCCCATCATCCCAGGTTATGCTGCATGATGGGTATTGGAGTCCCAGATATCTGGAGAGGAAAGGACCCCAAGAGGCTAGGAAAGAGAAATGCAACCTCAAATATAAGCCATAAAAAGGAGATTCCCCAGCCTTTAATCTCTCCCCCGCCCCCGCAATGCAGCTGCAGTAAATGCACATGCAAAAAAGTAATAAAATCATAATGACCAGAAATGCAATGAAAAGGGAGCAGGCAGCTGGAGCAATGCAGAATAGCTTCGAGGCCTCATTTTCCAAGCATATCTTTCACCTTCAAACAGGTAAAGCTGAGCGGTCTGCGCTGTAGGCTGGAAAAACAGCTGCGAAAGGCAGAAAAATCGGCTTTAAAATGAACTTTGGAGCAAAAAAGAAGCCTGCCACACCCAATATGGGGTCCATCGTGGCGCGGCAGCCACCTTGAAGAGGTCACCATCGTATCTGTGCTGCATAAACGGCTTCGCCACATCCAGTATGGCGGACTAAGACCCCCGTCGCCATGTTGGGCGTGTCTTAACGCTCTTACCCTTTTAACATCATCGTTAAACTGGGAAGGCGCAGGGAGTTTTCATGCGCACGCGCAGCGGGACTGGTTGCCACGGAAACGGCCAGCCGTTTACCCACCCAAGATGGGCGCTACGGCAAGCGAGAGGGAAAGGGGATGCCCGTCCCGTCATTATATAGCGCCGATCTCGTGAGCAACGGCAAGAACGGAGTGATGGGGACGGGGCGGAGAGTCATGTTCGCGGGATGGAGCAGCGGCGCTGCTCCTCCGGGTAAGTGGACGGTCCCTCGAGAGGCGGCGGGGAACGGAGACGAAGCCCCGGGGCTTAATGTGAGCGGGACGGAGAGACCGGTCGGAGTGGGAGTGAGGAGGACTACCGCTCCCAGTGTGCCCCGCGAAGCCTCATCGCGAGCTTCGACGGTTAGCGACCGCGATGCATGACGGGGATTGTGGTTTTGGGAAGAGTAAGACCCCCCCACATACCCCTCGGTCTGTCTACCAGACCCTTCTCCAACTGGGCGCCCTCCTGTACGATGGGAGTTGTAGTCCGGAGCCCCAGGACGATAGGGGCGAAAAATGATGACACCCCACCCCATTAATCGTAGACATTTTGTGCCCGTTCTGGTTAGGAAGCCCCCTTGAGCGGTGGTGCCCCTGAGCATGTGCAGAGTTCATGGCTTCTTGGATACCGAGATTCCTGGGGGTGTTTGGGGTGGGAAATGGAGCCCAAAGGCGACCCATATGCTTTTGGACTAGAGTTGGCAGTGTGGATAGCACGCATGTGCCTCTTTGGC